TATATATATATATATATATATATATGCTCATCGAATTTCAAGATTTCAAATAATTTTACTCATGCAAGGTTGAAGAAAAAGGTTTGGCCGAGGAGACTGCAGATAAAATCGGAACTTTGGTTAAACACAGAGGATCCCCTGTGGAGCTACTGTCCCAGTTAAGGAAGGAAGGTAGCGAGATTTTGACCAACAGTGATGCTGAGGTGGCATTGAATGAATTGGACACTTTATTCAAGGCTCTGGTGAAGGCTAAGTGTGTGGACAAAGTAACTTTCGACTTGAGCCTTGCACGAGGCTTGGATTACTACACTGGGGTCATATTCGAGGCTGTTTTTAAAGGAGCTACACAGGTGCTTTCTCTCTCTCTCTGTCTCTCTCTCTCTCTCTCTCCCTCTCTCTCCCTCTCTCCGTCTCTCTCTCTCTCTCTCTCTCTCTCCCTCCCTCTCTCCCTCTCTCTCCTAATTATGTGGATGATTTTGTAGGTCGGTTCAATTGCTGCGGGGGGACGTTATGACAATCTGATAGGGATGTTTGGGACGAAGCAGGTTCCGGCAGTTGGGATCAGCTTAGGTATAGAGAGAGTATTTGCTATTATGGAGCAGCTCCAAAAGGATAAAGATCAGGTTTGATTATCTAATAATAATAGAAAAATTGGTTTGATTATCCAAAGAGCAAAAAGAATCCAAAAGATCAGCAAAATTCTATCACTTTTTGCCAATCGAAATTGATTATTGTGGTGAAGTTCAGAGTTCAGACATAATATTCTTATGTATGGGAGTATCAAATAAATATGTCTCATTTTACGACACTATCGTTGTGTAAGGAAATCCGAGCAACCGAGACTCAAGTCCTGGTGAGCATACTCGGGGATGACCTGTCTCTGGGTGCCGAGCTTGTGAGCGAGCTGTGGGCCGCGAAGCTGAAAGCCGAGTTCTCGGTCAATAAAAGGGTCATCAAGCACATTGACCGGGCTCGTGGGGCCCGCATTCCCTACATGGTGATTGTGGGAGATCAGGAGCTGAGCAAAGGGATAGTGAAGCTGAAAGATGTCACGGCTGCTAACGAGTGTGAGGTTCCGAGAGGTGAGATTGTGGCCGAGCTCAAGAGACGGTTGAGCGACACGTGCTCGTCTTGATTAGCTGGCAGAAAACGATTGGATGAGAGCTTTGCCTAGATTTGATATATAGATTTTTTTTTTTTTTTTTTTTTTTTTTTTGCGACCCTNATGAAGACTAGTTAGCTGTTTTGAAGGATTTGTATTTGTGTAGTAATGATTAATGAACATCTTTGTAGTTAAACATGTTGTGATTTGGGTTCAAAATGCAGGATTTTTGCAGGGGTAAAACTATTTTTAAAATTTTTCATTATTTCTTGATTTTATTTTTCTTTTTGATGTTCATATCTTCCTTCTTTTCCCACAAGCTCTGATGGAATGGAATGTATATTTTTTCCATGGAGTAACCTGGATACTTATATTTGGAGATTTTGAATTGTTGGTTATAATTTAAGTATTTTTGTATAAAATATGTACATCTTTTATGAGAGCATTATTTATTATTGCTCAGATATAGTTGGGCATTATGATTTAGATTGGTTCAATCAATTATAGTTTTTGAAAAATGCTTTTACTTATATTATTATTTCTTTTACTTTTATCTAAGTCTTTCAAAAAATGACATTTAATTTTATCAAACTATACATATTTATTAAAAAATTATGACTATTTAACCATTATAATATTTTATGCCTTTTTAAAAGCAACTTTATCTTTATTATTTATCATTCTAATATATACTACATCGTTTAAAGTGTCATTGAATTGAATATAACATTTTACTAATATTATAATTTTATTGCAAAGAATTGCAATTTTTTCACTAATCAATACGTCCTGTCCAGAAGTCTGTAGCCCATAAACCCTAATTCCCTTTCCCTCTTTATTGTTACTAAACCCTCTTTCACCCACACTTCAATCAACAGAAAAGGCACTCATTTTTCGCCGGAAAAGACATATACCCGCCGTTTTAGCTCGCCGGTCGACTTTACCGATTACCCGGTAAGAGATGCAGCACGATGAGGTCATCTGGCATGTTATCAGACACAATCACTGCAGTTTCATGGCCAAGTAACCTCCTTTTCTCTTTCGATTTGCGTATTATTTTTATCCAGTCGATTTATATGCTGTCCTGTTCTTCTACGGATAATCTATTTCCGATGATTTACCGGTCGAATGTTGATGTAGAATTGAAACTGGAATATTCTGTCGAAACCCATATAATGTAACCGGAATTTGCAACCGGAGCTCGTGCCCGCTCGCCAACAGCCGTTACGCCACAATTCGGGAACACGAGGGTATTTCGTTCTATTATTTCTATTATTTCGTTGAGTTTTAAGCTGAATCCTTAGGCTATTGAGCTGAGAGTTGTGTGTTTTGGGATGATTATTATTATTATTTTTTTCTATAGGTGTTTTTTACTTGTATATGAAGACTATAGAAAGAGCACATATGCCTAATAAGCTCTGGGAAAGGGTCAAATTGCCGAGAAATTATGAGAAGGCCCTCGAAATAATTGACAAGCACTTGGTAATGAATGTGTATTATTAAGTTCCCCAGTTTTTGTGTTTATGCCTTGAGGATTAGACCTGAATGAATTAAATTATTGTTTAATTTTCTGTTTTCAGATGTTCTGGCCAAAGTTATTGGTACACAAGACGAAACAGAGATTGACTAAGATGACACAGATGCGTATTCGCATGAGGAAACTTGCTCTGAAGACCAGGTTCGGCAAAATTGTTCATTTGAACTACCTATTTGTGTCACATAATGTTTGGAAGGTTATTATATAATTGATTTGAGTTTACCCAAAGTATCTTCTCGGTTTTTTTGCTTCTGAATGAATAGGATTCATGTACACTTATAGGTTTTAGTTCTGTGAACTCTGCTAGTTTTGGTTAGTTACATAATTCACAATTCTTCTTATATAAGCTTTTAACATAATTATCGTCTATTATAGTTCTTTCATTTTCTCTTTCTTTTTCTTTTCCTTTTTCTTCCCCAGAGAGAAAATTATGACGGTGCCGACAAAAGAAAAGAAAAGAGAAGCTCGGAGAGAGGAAAAGGCTGAGAAAGCTGCAGTCTTGGAGAAAGTAACCCTGATATTTCCCCCATATTTTTGAAAAATAACAAGAAATAATAAAATTTGGGTGCTCTTAATATTTGGTGCATATTGTGGGGCTCAACATTTTCTCTTTTTTTTTTTTTGGTATTGCAGAGTATTGAAAAGGAGTTGATTGAACGTCTCAAGCAAGGAGTATATAACGACATCTATAACTACCCTGTTAATGAGTTTAACAATATCCTCGATCAGGAGGTTGGAAAAAGTGCTATTAGTGAGGATGAAGAGGTGGTTACCTGACTAAGTCTTTGCACATATTTTATTCAATAATCAATGCCCCTTTGTATTGTGTTCTTCCTTATTTTCTTGTGAAATTTCCATTTGAAGGAACCTGAAATTGAATACGTCGAAGGTTATGAGGATCTTGAGGAGGAGTTGGAGGACATTGAGGATTTCGGTGGTTTTGATCTTGGAGAGGATGACAATAATGGTAAAAATGTTCCGTTTATTTATTTATTTTATGTTTTCGCCTCCTTATTGCATATCTCTGTAGGCTGGTCAGACAATGACACAATAACATAACAAACCCCTATTTACATATACCTTTGGGATAGTCACAAAAGCTACT